CATATCTTCTGGCATATTATCTGGCAAATCTCCTGGCATTCTGTCTGACATATCTTCTGACATTCTATTTGGCATTCTATCTGGCATATCTTCTGGCATTCTATCCGGCAAATCTTCTGGCATTCTATCTTTGTAACTTTCTTCTGCACATTCTTTGTCCCATATCTTCCTACATGAGGTCCGGCAGGGAACACTTGGCGTGGATACTCGCGGTTGAGGTCCGGCAGGGAACACTGGGCGTGGATGGTCGTGGTTGAGGTCCGGCAGGGAACACTGGGCGGGGATGGTCGTGGTTGAGGTCCGGCAGGGAACACTGGGCGTGGATGGTCGTGGTTGAGGTCCGGCAGGGAACACTGGGCGGGGATACCCGCGGTTGAGGTCCGGCAGGGAACACTGGCGGTGATGGTCGTGGTTGAGGTCCGGCAGGGAACACTGGGCGTGGATGGTCGTGGTTGAGGTCCGACAGAGACCACTGTGCGTCGAGGGTCGCGGTTGAGCAGGAGGAGGACGACGAGGAGGAGGAGGAGAGGAGGAGGAGATGAGGAGGAGAGGAGAGGAGCAGGCAACTGACATAAAATCTAACAACCCTCACCTGGCAGGTGGGGAAAAATTACCACTCATTTGGCCTATCTGCTGAAGCCTCTGCCCGTGACCCGGAAGATGGACAGCGGTAATAAAATCAGACTAACATTTGGTCGAGCGGCGATTCGCTCATCCACTGTGGGCACTTCAGGAAGAAGACCCGGGCACATTGCGCAAGCATCCCGCACTGGCCAAAAGTTGATGGACACCACGCGGCAGCAGACATGCTCACTACGATACCAATGGAACGAGCACAAGTCCCCTGGGGTGAGCTTCCTGGCTAGCCTGTCTGAGGAACGGCGACCTTCTTGGTACTTTGTACCTGCTAGGATTTGTGCGGCAAACTTCTTTTTGATGGTGAAGTGAGCTTTGATTGCCGCCATCTGACTCAATTTCTATAGGCGCCTCTGGCGTGCATGTGAGCCAAAAACTCGCAAATCACTTCGACATAGATCGACCAACATCCACATTCTCATAAAATGAAGATCCCTTCTCGTCTCATGAATCCACTCAGATGGTCCCTTCTCATGAATCCTACAGTGGATAGCGCTGGCCAAAGCTTTCGTCCTCGCCTGGCCCTGGGAATCCCTGGTGATTTGCTCACCCGGCTCCTGCTAGTTACTGCACATGGGAACGGAAAACCTATCTACTCCACAGGCGACTTTCCAGCTTTCCATGACAATGAGTGTCAGTTTGGAAAAACATGTCCGAGTTCAATGGTGGTATGAGCGATATAGCAAAAAAGTAATTTACCGACGATTGAGAAGAATCCATCTCAAAATTGGGCGCACAGTGTATATCACTATGTTAACAAGTCGTAGAAATGGACGCACAGTGTATCACTGAGTGTTTAACACAGCTCTGGCTCTCATTCCCCCAACGCGTGACATGTGCAAACCGAAGGTTCCAGGTCCATGGCTTCTAATCGAATATATAAAGTTTCGGGGACGCCATCTTGAATCTTGGGTCATGTTTGATCAGGTTTTTCCCCGCCTGACATCTCTGAAACAGCATGGTCTCGTCCATCAAGACCGCCTAACACAGCTCTGGCACTCATTCCCCCACATGGTAACATCGGCAAACCGAAGGTTCCAGGCCCGGGGCTTCCACGCACGCGCACGTTTTTGAGAAAAAATATCCTCTTGTCAATTCCCCCTCTAAGCCAGGGTCCCTGATTCTATAGAGGTACCTAGGTTCCAATGAGGTAAATTCACTATAAAATCGAACATTGGCCAGACCCCAGGTATTCTGAGCACAGGTTCGAACCACTGTAAAATCACAACCCCTGGGATACAAAAGTACCACACTCATTTGAAACCATGCTCCCTGAGCATGATTCAGGATGGCTATGAAATTGAAAAAAAGTAATTGTTGGATTAGCTTTCAGACATACCATGTCCTGTAGGCCCACATTCAACAGGTCAGGGGTTTTGATTTCATAGGGGAAATATGGGCAGCCTAGATGATGTGGGCTTTGTGGACCCCCTCTTTATGGACCCAAAGATGGTTCAAAATCAAAACTTTTGATTTTATAGCGCCTTTAAATGCCTGTCAAATTGGGATAATTTGGTAATATTTAAGCTGCCCCTGTAGTCACATTCTATCTTCATTATCAAATACCAGTAAATGGAAACTATAAAATCAAAAAATACCCTTACCATCCCTAAACTATCCATGTACATAACAGGTGTTGTGGGCTTTGTGGACCCCCCTCCTTTGTGGACCAAAAAATGGTTCAAAATCATCACTTTTGGTTCGTGCCTTTAACAAAGACATGTATTCTGTATCATTCTGTCAATTTGGTATAGTTTGGTCATGTTTAAGCTCCCCCTGTAGTCATATTCTACGATTCTATCATTGTATACCAGAAAATGGAAACTATAAAATCAAAAAAATACCTTTACCATCCTTAAACTATCCATGTACATAACAGGTGTTGTGGGCTTTGTGGACCCCCCTCTTTGTGGACCTGCCAAGCGAACCCGACCCCCAGGTTCACTAATCCATGAGCCAGTTTAACCCAGCGAGCAGGCTTGTCCACTGAAAACGCTCCACTAATATCCACACATGCAGTTCACTATCCCCTGGGTCTCCTACCTACCAGCATTATCTGTCTATAGAATCGAAACCCCTAGGTATCTGTACTGCTGCACATACATGGCACCCCCAGCTCTCTATAAAATCGAAACCCCAACTCAGAGCCAGCCCAAATGCACCAGCAAATCTGTATAAAATAATGCGTTTGTAGGGCACCTGGGTATCCTGATTATATAGTGGAAATTGGCATGGGGATGAAAATATTCTAGTTTGGGAGCGCCCTCTTGAATCTTGGGTCATGTCTGACTGATCGGTTTGATCAGGATGCTCCCCCGCCTGACATCATCTCTGAAACAACATGGCCTCGTCCATCAAGACCGCCTAGATGGGGAAGCTGCGTCATGTGTGGGCCCTCAAGCCAACAGGGAATGGAACTACACATTAGCGTTCAAAACTGCGAAGCTCTGACATGTCTGTGTGACGATAATTTAAAGTGGGGATGTACCCAGCTTGGGACATAACCATACGATTGATACTTGTTGATTATGGCGGAAATTGGTGTCATGATGTGCAACTACATGGGTTTAGCGCGCAAAATCGCCAGCAACATCAAGTAACTGGATCTCCCATCTAAAGTGAAGGTCCAAGTGAAGGTCTGAAAAATCTCCGGAATCCCCCATGGATGGTTGGTGTGGCCACCCCTGTGACATGACATGCGTTGAAGCCCACCCGCCTCCGATGGTTCTTCGCGGGTCATTACTGGCAACCGATTTGTGTGTTGCACCTGCTTGTGTTTTTGGTTTGGCCCTGCTGGGCAACTGTTTGTCAAATAAATCATGGAAGTGTTGTTGAAGTCCTGCAAATGGCTGCGAAATGGCTGGGAAAGCAACTGCAAAACAGATGGCTGTGATACCGACACGTGATTGCAAAACAGATGTTGAGGTTGCTGCATAAGTGATTGCCAAAGCTGAGATGTTCAGCACACTGTCTCCACCAATACTTGCGATTCATGTGATCAGCCATGCGACATGCATCACTTGCTGGGAGTGCTACACAAACTGGTCGATATCCAGGGCAGCTGCAGAGCACTGTTTGCCACTTTTTGCGCAAAAAGATGGCTGCCAGGCGGCATTGACCCTGATTTCAATGCGCCGAAGGGACCATGTTAGTAAGTGAACATCGACTATCAATTGTCACCCGCTTCTACCTTCACTGGCAAGAGTGTTGGAAAGTCCATGTGTTGACCGAGGATTTTTCTCAGATCTAAATTCTCTGCCTTCTGCCATCTTGAATCTTGGGTCATGTTTGATCAGGTTTTTCCCCCGCCTGACATCTCTGAAACAGCATGGTCTCGTCCATCAAGACCGCCTAACACAGCTCTGGCGCTCATTCCCCACATGGTAACATCTGCAAACCGAAGGTTCCAGGCCCGGCGCTTCCACGCACGGTTTTGAGAAAAAAATCTAGTTTGGGAGCGCCCTCTTGAATCTTGGGTCATGTCTGACTGATCGGTTTGATCAGGATGCTCCCCCGCCTGACATCATCTCTGAAACAGCATGGCCTCGTCCATCAAGACCGCCTAGATGGGGAAGCTGCGTCATGTGTGGGCCCTCAAGCCAACAGGGAATGGAACTACACATTAGCGTTCAAAACTGCGAAGCTCTGACATGTCTGTGTGACGATAATTTAAAGTGGGGATGTACCCAGCTTGGGACATAACCATACGATTGATACTTGTTGATTATGGAAATTGGTGTCATGATGTGCAACTACATGGGTTTAGCGCGCAAAATCGCCAGCAACATCAAGTAACTGGATCTCCCATCTAAAGTGAAGGTCCAAGTGAAGGTCTGAAAAATCTCCGGAATCCCCCATGGATGGTTGGTGTGGCCACCCCTGTGACATGACATGCGTTGAAGCCCACCCGCCTCCGATGGTTCTTCGCGGGTCATTACTGGCAACCGATTTGTGTGTTGCACCTGCTTGTGTTGTTGGTTTGGCCCTGCTGGGCAACTGTTTGTCAAATAAATCATGGAAGTGTTGTTGAAGTCCTGCAAATGGCTGCGAAATGGCTGGGAAAGCAACTGCAAAACAGATGGCTGTGATACCGACACGTGATTGCAAAACAGATGTTGAGGTTGCTGCATAAGTGATTGCCAAAGCTGAGATGTTCAGCACACTGTCTCCACCAATACTTGCGATTCATGTGATCAGCCATGCGACATGCATCACTTGCTGGGAGTGCTACACAAACTGGTCGATATCCAGGGCAGCTGCAGAGCACTGTTTGCCACTTTTTGCGCAAAAAGATGGCCGCCAGGCGGCATTGACCCTGATTTCAATGCGCCGAAGGGACCATGTTAGTAAGTGAACATCGACTATCAATTGTCACCCGCTTCTACCTTCACTGGCAAGAGTGTTGGAAAGTCCATGTGTTGATCCAGGATTTTTCTCAGATCTAAATTCTCTGCCTCCAAGGTATCACACTTGGTACCCAAGTGTTCTGCCATCGCCTTCACCTTCTTGTGTTCCTTTTCGAGCTCGCTGTATCGAGCTTCCAACTCCCGGTGTTCTCGCAGCAGCTCGCCCCCGCTTATCTTGCGGAGGCCGATGACTTCCTCGATCAAATCATCATAGCAATCCAGCTTCTTCAAATCAGACTGGGAGATGCGCATCCGCACACCACATCGATTAGCCTCATACCTGTGGCAGAAACATGCTAAAAACGATTAACCGAACAGGGTGTGGCCACCCCTTTACACACTGTAACCGCACACTCTTGTCACATAAACGTCTGGAAGATTCGTGACCAACAATGCAGCTATTATTGCCATTGCTATCAGGTTCCACTGGGATCTTTTGAAAGAAACAAGCCGAACAGTTTGTAGTTCGACCTATTCACATCTAGAAAGGAAACGACGATGTCAAATTGTACATGGTTAGGATCTTTAGGTTCGGGGTGAAGAAAACCTGCTCGGGATTAGGTTAGTAGGTTTGGGATGTTTCGCCGTGTGACTGCTGCCGCTTGCGCTTGCCAGCATCATCATCAGCATCCATGGCTGCTGAAGATGAAAACTGCTTGCGCTTTGCTATGCCATGTCTTGCCATATTCAATATCTACCACGTCATATCAGTATGTCATGTCACGTCGTGATATGTCATGTCTTATGGTTTGGTATGCGGAGATCCCCCCTCTGTACTGAAACCTCAGGCAACCAACCGCGAGCAACTGAATTGAAAAATCTGTGGCCACGAACATCCGATTGAAGATATGTTTGCATTTTCTGAGCAGCCAGAACTAGTTAGTTTTCCCTGTGGCCGTTTTCCACGGCTTTCACCGCAGCACCCGCAGCGAGGAGCCATAGCCGTGAAGCGCCGCCAAGTGCAGCAGGGTACGGCCTGAGCGAACCCGGAAGAACTAAACATTTGATGACTCGTCTTCATCTGTTGCACCACTGTCCCACAGTGCCATCTTGTCTTGACCCATCCACATTTATCAACTGAATGCTTATACTTATATAACTGAGGATGGACAAATACCAGACGACGGATGGCCCGAGAGCATAAAAGATATGTTGTAAGTTGAAGATGTTTTGATCATGAGTCAGATGATCAACAGAAAGGAGTTATAGAGATGACATGTTCGATTCTCAGCAGATGAAAAACAAACAAGAAGTGCAAGAAACAGACTGCGACAGAGATAAACAGACATGAACAGGCATAGACAGACAGAGATAGATAGAGACCCACAGAGACACACAGAAACAAACACAGATGCATACACAGACACACAAACAAAGACACCTACACACACAACACAGGCAGACATCACACAGATACACACACACACACGCACGCACACAACGACACACACACACACAGACACACACAAACACAGACACACAGACACAGACACACAGACACAGACACAGACACACAGACACGCAGACAGAAACCAGACACACAGACACCAGACACACAGACAAACAGACAAACAACACAGACATACACCAGACACAAAGCTCGCACAAAGTACTTCCCAGTACTACTTCGTACTACAAGTACGTCCCAGTACTACTTCGTACTACAAAGCTTCCACACAAAGTACGTCCCAGTACTACTTCGTACTACAAAGTACGTCCCAGTACTATTTCGTACTACAAAGCTCGCACAAAGTACGTCTCCATACTACTTTGTACTACCAAGCTTGCAACAAAGTACGTCGAGTACTATTTCGTACTACAAAGCTCGCAACAAAGTACTTCTCAGTACGACTTCGTACTACACAGCTTGCACAAAGTACTTCAAAAATCGCAATTTTATCTCAGTTTTTGGCAATCGAACCTCATTTCGTGCGAAAGTGTTGCATTTCGTGACGCCTCGTTGGCACTGCCCCGGGCCTTAAGAGAGAAATAGAAAAGAAGGAAAGAGAAGAGGGCAAGAGAGCAAGAAGGCAAGAGAGAGAAGATGTGAGAAGATGAGAAGATGTGAGAAGATGTGAGAAGATGTGAGAAGATGAGAAGATGTGAGAAGATGAGAAGCTGTGAGAAGATGTGAGAAGATGTGAGAAGATGTGAGAAGATGAGAAGATGTGAGAAGATGTGAGAAGATGTGAGAAGATGTGAGAAGATGTGAGAAGATGAGAAGATGTAAGCAGATGTAAGATGAGAAGGTGTGAGAAGATGTGAGAAGATGTGAGAAGATGAGAAGATGTGAGAAGATGTAAGAAGATGTGAGAAGATGTGAGAAGATGTGAGAAGATGTGAAAAGATGTGAAAAGATGTGAGAAGATGTGAGAAGATGAGAAGATGTGAGAAGATGTGAGAAGATGAGAAGATGTGAGAAGATGTGAGAAGATGTAAGATGAGAAGGTGTGAGAAGATGTGAGGATGAGAAGATGTGAAGATGAGAAGATGTGAGAAGATGTGAGAAGATGAGAAGATGTGAGAAGATGTGAAGATGAGAAGATGTGAGAAGATGTGAGAAGATGAGAAGATGTGAGAAGATGTGAAGATGAGAAGATGTGAGAAGATGTGAAGATGAGAAGATGTGAGAAGAAGATGTGATGATAAGATGTGATGACAGATGTGATGACAGATGTGAAGATGTGAAGATGAGAAGATGTGAGAAGAATATGTGATGATAAGATGTGATGACAGACCTCCACTATTAGAAGAACCCTTCGCTCAGACGCTCTCGGGAAAAAACAGAAATACATCAGACATCACACAAAAATACTTGGGAAATATGTCAGAGCAGGTGTTTGAATGTCTGCTGCAATGATTGATAACTGCCCTAGTTGTTCTTTACCGCAACAGTCTTGCTGGATTGAATGCCCAGCCCAACTTTGGAACCACGTGGTTCCCTTCTCTGTTTTGGACCTGCAATACCGTTTGGCCCGTATGAGAACAGAAATATTATAATATAATAAACGTTTCGTATTAATCAATAAGAATACACCGAAAAATATGATAAAATATGGTTCTTGGGCTTGATTTGTTTGTGGACGTGTTGGGGCGACATGAGACATGCGAGGGCACAGTTTTAATTCCCTGAGCACCGTGCATCCCACAGTGGCAATGCTTTTGGGCGAAGGGTTCAGGTCCAGGCACACCTACAACCACGCGCGGCAGCAGGAATAGCTCGGCGGAAGCTCAGAGAAAATTAATGAAGGAGGAAAGAAAAAACAGAAATTCAATGAGTACAAGGAAATTCGCACCCTTGGAAACAGAGATTTGAAACCTAATCGG